AGTGTGCCCGCTGCTGTTAAATATTCCTCACTTTGTTTGTTTTAAAGTGCACCATGAGTGACGGATCCGCATCCCGCCACGACCCTCGCACTCTGCCAACTCGATGTGCTTTCATTTTCATTTTCATTTGTAATAGACACCTCTCTGAGACATGTTTTTGTGCCTTCCTGATATAAATTACTATGAATTTGATATGGTAATTCATATGGAGACACTAATTTGGGCAAAATCACTAATGACTTGTTTAAGACTTGAATCTTAAAGCTGAAGACTCGGGACTCGACTTGGACTTGCCTGTCTTGACTCGGGACTTGACTCGAGACTTGAATGCAAAGACTCGAGACTTACTTGTGACTTGCAAAACAATGACTTGGTCCCACCTCTGCCATTAACATCACTGTAAGTTATGAGCCATTTTACTTTCTTAACTCAACCCAGGTTCTTGTTCATTCACGTTCAGTGGTAGTGAAGTTCTTTTATAGGGATCTATGAGTGCCGAAGGAGTTGGGGGCGTTGTACTTTATCAATGGTGTCATGAATTCATACACGTAATACAAAGTCTTAATGGAGAAGATGCTACACATTAATAGCATAATCTCTGTTTAGAAATGGTTTCTGTTTGTTGTCCAGGTGCATTTGGTGCCGATGTAATGAAGTCAGTGTCAGTGATGGTGGGAGATTCTGTCACTTTATACACTGATGATACTGAAACACAGGGAGCTCAGGAACTGGTGTGGAAGATTCAAGGTGAAAATAAATTCATAGCAGAGATTGATAAAGAAATCAATACACTCTCTGTACCTGGGAATGATGAAGAACCATTCAAAGGCAGACTGAAGCTGGATGGTCAGACTGGATCTCTGACCATCACAAACCTCAAAACCACAGACTCTAGAGTGTATGAACTACAGATCAAGACCAGCAGAGAGACCAAATACAAGATATTCAATGTCATTGTCCGCGGTGAGTGTGATCATTATGTGATTTAACTGTCAAAGATGCTTTGGAATAATCACCAAAATATAAAAAAAAATTTATTAAAATGAAAAATTACAGTATGTTAATAAACACTCTCAAGATGTACAGAGCAGAATTTGTAAATAATATATTAATATTTTCAGAGGAACTGTAATGCTTGACCTTCAGAAGAGTTAACATGACTCTTTCCCCATCAAAATATTTGAAATATAATTAATATAGAATATAAATCTTGATAGATGCAAAACTCTCCAAATGAATTTAAATGTTATTTCTTAGCTTCCCTAACCATGGTATATTAAATATTTACAATAGTTACAACCAAGGGCTCAAGGTTTTCTCTTAGCATGGGTCAGTTACCCCCTGTTGCTAAGATGCAGTAACTACACCATTATTTTATTTTATTTTTCAAACATCATTAGTGAATCACAAGTATTTCATTATATTATATATGATTTGCCATTGACAATCTGGAGGGCTCTTAAAGTGAAATGGTGAAATGAAGTGTTGCTATTGCTCTAGAAATATCACAAACATATACAAATGCGATTAAAGAGATTTTAGACTTTATATAATGTGATGCAGATATTCTATCCAGTAAGCTTATTTTTATTTTTATATTTTTTTGTTTTTTGGTAACATTGGCGCTGGCAAAATGCACACTATTGACTTTTGTGGGAAAATATGCTCTTTGGTTTTTAGTGATTACTATAAGGAAGATCAATAATTTAATAGATTTTTTTTATTAACCTTCTGGTGGTGTTTGGGTCATTTTGGCTTGGAGAGGATTATTGGAAGGAAGAGGAAGTTAATGTTCTCGCATTGGGCTAAAACTTAATTCCTTTGCTAACACAGGGAACTTTTTTCCACCTTGTTACACTTGTGGTGTTCCTGGTCAAAAATGACTGGCCTACAAAAAATAACTTATACATTTCTCATTATGCTATATTATAACTTTAGAAAAATAAATCCAGTACTTGGTAATAATATAGCATAACAAATTATTTACAAGCTTTCTTTTAAAGGGCTGGCCATTTTTGACCATGAACACCAAATGTGCTATAGTGTTTTCTATACAGCAAGGCTTAAACATGTTATAAACATTATAGTGTAAGTTCATTTTTGTAACAAAAATGTTTATGATTTCAGTAAAATAAGTGTACTTGTATGACCCTGCCATTTGTTCTTTTATATTTTGGATTCTTCAAACATTGAGGAAATAAACCCTGTTGTAAGCAAATTAAGTCCTATATGTCATTTTGCGTTTCTATTTCTTAATTGGCTGAAATGCAGATCACTCATTCTAAACTCCTTTATTTCCAGATACCCAGATTTGAATCTGTATTTTTTTTAAATGTCTTTCTTTTTTTATGGAGGAAAAATAGACTTCAAATACATTGACATTTTAAGTCTTAAAATAGCACAAAACCTAGTGATCATGTTCTACATAATGTTTCAAAGAGCATCTTGACCTCCAACAAAAGCCGTACAAAGAGTCACATGATATTTTCTTATATTTTCTTCATGTTACGTATTATTGTTTCTTTGTTTGAAATCTTTTAAAATCTTGATCCTTTGTGTTTAGAGTATTTCAAATTTAAATTAGAATTGGAGTCACACATTTTCAGGTTCTCAGCCATTTGGCTTTCACTTTACATATACATTTAAATGTGCATTATGTTAAAACGAATTACAAAATTATAACCTTAATCTCTGTTTTAAATGGTTTCTGTTTGTTCTCTTCATGTGTTTGTTGTTGAAACAGATGTTGTGGAGTCAGTATCATTGATGGAGGGAGATAATGTTACTCTTCACACTGATGTTACTGAAATACAAAGAGATGATGTGATACGGTGGTTTGGAGACCAAGGCACCCTCATCGCTCGCTTAAAGGGCCCTGCTGACGGGAGTTGGAGTAACATTGATCTGAACGATCAAACCGGGGAACTCACCATCAGAAAGTTTGAAGATCAAGTCATCATTATTGCTCACTTAACCTTTTAACTGTCGCCCTCACTAGTTGAGCTCAAACACAAACATGACCTACACAAACTAAAACAGTCACAGTTCATGAACCCTCTGGACTACAGACATAACTGAGGTCTCTTTAGAAAGATGATAGTTCTGAGTTTAATGTTCAAATATCAGAATAATTTATATGAGTATAGAAAAAGAGTATGAGATCCTTAAATATTTTGGAAAAGTTATTATAATTTTATTTATGCAAAGTGGATTTAGAAGTAAATATATGAGACTGTGCTAGAGCAACTCAAAAAGCAATGAAGTCAAAGCCACAAGTCTGACCAAGTTACCATTAAAATACGAAGATGGAGGCACTAAAAATGAGATTCCTGTAATCCTTTTTCTTAGTTAAAGTAAATTTTAAAAGGACACTAGGAGACTCAAAATAGAGCCACTAGTAATTACCATGAGGTGAAACACAATATAAGACTATTTACAACATGTTTTAAGCTGCAATTAATGAACACTAAAACAGCCTTGCTTTGATTTACATCTTTGCCTGTATGTCGAACTTTTAGTTCAGCAGAGGACACAGGCCTTCTATATGTGCTAAACCATAAATACTGTAGCAGAAAAAAATTAATTATGTTGGCTTATATCATATAAGGCATGAAGCATAGTGTTGGTACAGCACACGTCTCACTACCACATGTAGCTTCTCAGCTACTTTTCAGATAGGCCTAACATTTTTCACATTGTGAACTCATAATCAGGTCTGGCTCTATTCTGGCATGGAATACTTACTTTTTCACACCCAATCAATTCTCAACCAATGGATAGTGAATTTGGGGTAGGACAATCTGCTTATAAAGACCACGGGGACACGACAGTTAAAGGCAGAGAGAGGAAGTGTTCAGGAAACATGGTTGATAACAGTATTTATTTCGGCAATTCCGTTTTGTTACGACAGTTATTTGTATATAAATAATGCAACACAACTTCAGTAAGAATAAAAATATTACGATTCCTGTATAGAAATTTGAAAACTTACACACGAGACTGACTGCAGATACAAATCCACATAATCTCTGTAATAATATATTTGTTGGCTACATTTTCGTCCATCAGAACTTTACCAGCGTTCCCCTGACTGCCTGCGTGCACTGAAGATTGTAGTTTGTGTTTATTATTATGTCACAACAGCCGGTGGCGCTGTTAGAATGTTTTGAATCACTGACCAATCAGCGCTGCACGGAGAACGCTGGTTGTGGAGTTATTCTGTACGTAGGACTCTAGCAAATATGAAAATACAACGTTTTACTACTAAAACACCCCTCGGATTGCATAATTTATTAGACAATTTATAATAATTAAAATTTATTCCGAGGCAAACAAAGCAAAAATACTAGCAATTTATCTTAAATTACATAAGTTTGGACTAAACATCTAACTGATTTGTGTTTTGGGTTTTTGTCATAAAAATACGCCGATATTTGTAAGATTGAATTTACCTGTCATCTTTACTGGACAAAAACAGTTCTGAATTCCCTGTTACTGTGCTGTGTGTATTGATGTGATCTCCTAATACGAATTAAAATGATGTGATCGCTATAACATTACGCTTCTAAATATCTAAACCCGAGCCTTTGAACTTTCGAATGACGTATTGTTCGTTAAACCTAATTAAGACTTTGATGGTAAAAGCATGCAGTAAATGTCAACAAACAAACTTCGAAACCGACGATGGTCTCGAGCAGGTTAATGGATTAAAGGGCCCTGCTGACGGGAGTTGGAGTAACATTGATCTGAACGATCAAACCGGGGAACTCACCATCAGAAACATCCAAAGAGATCAATCTGGAGATTATAAAGTGGAGATCAACACCAGCAGTATGATTTTACATAGGAAATTACGTATTAATATAATTAGTGGTGAGTAGCCCAAACTTACTATTAGACTTTTTAAAGTGGTAGTTTACCAAAATTAAGTATTAAAAGCATTTCACAATAATTTGGCCCATTATAATGAATAAAAATAATTATTGCATTTAAAAGTCTCTTTAAAAGGTTCAGGTCTCTTTAATAGTGGTAGAGGAAATGGTAAGTAGGCCTATCATACTTTGTATTTATATTTTTGAGGTGTATTGTAGTCAGGGAGGGTACGGTCAAGCTTAACAACTCAACCCTGTCATGTAAAATTAAGATGGAAAATTATTATTTTAATCCATAAGTATAAACAATGTACTTATTTTTTGCTACCATATATGGTCTACTCTCCTAACTACATGAGGAGCAGTGGCTGTTTTGAGTAAAAAACAACAACAACAACAACCACCCCGTCACAAATATGTACATTTCTCATTGTTTCGGGGTTGCAAACTTGTGACAGGGTTTAGTTATTTACTAAATTTATTAATAATTTTAATTTAAAAATATAGTCATGGTTTCAGTAAATATATACTTATCAAAATCATGACTACTCATAATTTTGTTATACAATGTAATATGTCCACTTAAACTTTGATAAGCATCCTACATCAGAAATTGCACCAATATTTGCAGCAGAAAGACAATATTGGGCTTGCAGATATGTTGACCCAGAAAGAAGAGCACAATACGAGAAAGAAACAAAACTGAAAATTAAAATTGAAGGCAGTGTATCCCTTCAAATGTGTTAGTCTTCAGCCCCGTCACACCTTGTCACATTAATATTTTTGGAAAAAACAAAGAGGAAAGACAATTAAGAATGAAAATATTTCTTGCTGTTTACCATCTGACATGTTAAGGACTAACATGATAAAATTGTGGTTTTGGTTCAACACCTAAATGAACAATATATATATACAAAAAAAAGAGACCATAAACACACAATTTGTATATTTTTAATATTTTTTAACTTCAGTCATAAAATGTTACATATGTTATCATTAAAGGGGTCATATGATGCGATTTCAATTTTTCC